AAAAAAAAAAGAACTGACCCCTTCATTAGAAAATGACTCGCTCTTTGAAATGTTCTTTGCTATAAAATCTACGCTGTCTGATAATATAATCACTGTGACTTTCTTTTATCAGGGTGCATATGAAGCACTTTTTCAGTCCTTTACTTTGAACCTATCTGAGTCTTCCTAGTTAAAGTGGGTTTCTTATAAACAGTGTATACTTGGACATTTCTCTTCTTTTGCCCAGTTTGACAACCTTTGCGTTTTGGGGGTTGTTTGCAACATCAGCCTTAGTTGGTATGATCTGGTTTAAATCTGCCTTCTTGCTATTAGTATTTGTCTCTTATTTCCCCACCTGTTCTTTTTTTTCTTCCTTTTCTTGAACCAACTGATTAATTTTTGTATCTTCAATATATATAGATATTTACAGAATTTAAGAACATTTTGTCTAGGCCAGCCCACGGCCTAGTGGTTAAAGGATCTGGGTCTTCACAGTAGCTGGAGGACGCACGGGGCACATGTGCACGGTGTGCCACAATCTGAACAGGACGGAGGAACGGAGGAGGGACTGTGGCACGACATGCCCCATCAGTCTCTCTCTGGCAAGCACACAGGCCTTCTGCCAAGTATTTATACATACATACATACATACATGAAATCTCTTCTGTTGGCTTTTAACTGGAACACTTTGTGTCATACAGGAATCGTTTTCGGATTTACAGTACCAGTATTCATCCCTAACTTATCAGTCTACCTTCAGGCAATACGCTGTCATTTTCTGTGTAGTTTAAGAACCTTATAACGGAAGGACCAGCAGTTGACGTAATGGCTGTGTCGCTGGACTCCCACGTAGTCAACCACAGTTCAAGTCCCGGACCCGGTGGCTTAAACTCATGCCGGGCGCGTGTGTGTGCGTGCCCAAGATCCCGAGAGAAGAATGGAGAAGGGATTGCGGTGTGGCCATCCCCTCTGGGGGTGATTTCTTACTTTCTGTCTCTCTGCCTCTTTCTTTCTGGTGCGTGCACGCACCCTATAGCAAAAAAAAACCTCTCAAAGAACCTTATAACGGGGGCTAGCAGGTAGCGTGGTGGATAGAGGTGCTGGATTCCCACATGGTCAACCACAGTTCGAGTCCCAGACCTGGTGGCTTGCTTTCTCGCTTTCCCTTTCTCTAAAAAATAATAACAGGGGCCAGCAGGTGCCATGAGATTAGGGCGCTGGACTCCCACATGGCCAACCAGCACTTTAAGACCTGGACCTGGTGGCTTGCTTTCTTACTTCCCTTCTCTTGCTCTCTTGTTCTGTCCCTCTCTGTTAAAATCAAATAAATAAGTAAAGCTAAATAAAACAGTTTTTTAAAAATTGGAATTAATAAACAATTCTTAAAAACAAATAGAACCTTCTAACAGGGCACTGCTGCTCCCCCTCCCGGCCTCAGCACCGCTCTGCAAAGCCACTCACCCTCACAGACGGTATAACCCACGGCACGTCACAAAGAGTCTCCCTGTAGGCGCTACGACGGCAGCTGTTAGTGCATACCCGTGCAGTGTCTTCCCGTGCCCTCCCTCCGTGGCATAGATGCGGATTTCCAGCCAGCATCGTTTTCCTTCTGTGGAAGGACTTCCTTTTTTTTTTTTTTAATTTTTTTTTTTTTGTATTTTATTAGCTATGTGACTTAATGGCAAGTTAATTTCTTTTTTAAATTATTATTTATTTAATTTTATTCATTCATTTTAATTTGACCAGAGGAGAGAGAGAAGAGAGGGGGGGGAAGCGAGAAGGCAAGCCACCAGATCCAGGACTTGAACCATGGTCGGCCATGTGGGAGTATCCAGTACCTTAACCACCACGCCACCTGCTGGTCCCTGGAAGGATTTCCTTTAACATGTCGTGTAGTGGCAGGCTGCTGCTAGTGACGTCGTCCTGCCCTGGCATGTCTGAAAATGCCTTTATTTCACCAGTTTTCAAAGAACTCAA